AAAGGAACACCACAGCAAGAGGAACATGACAAGGAGGAGTTGTGCGAAGAAATTATAACGGAGATGCTGCTTCCTTGTTTATGTTACTGGCCCAGATCTTCCTGCGTGGCACTAAACGGCTTTCTGCCCCTAATGCTTCGTGCCATCGCCAGGATGCAAACCAGCATATGCCTTGGAACAGAGAAAAAACAAATCTGCTAGGGACCTAGATGAAAATAAAAGTTTCTGAAGAGATATTCTTTCATTCAAAAGTCGGTTGAGCAAATAGCAATGGCCATGCACTCTCTCACACATCAGGTTTTGCACTTCTTAAATATATACCACTTGTTTCATGTCTTGAAACAATAAGCCATGCGTTATTTTGCTTTTCCTAAGGATTCATTATTTTAAATGATTTTGCATTTATTCCATCTCTTCTTCATTGTGGTCTTCGAGAAGAAGCAATTTACAGCCAAGGTAGAAATAAGAGTTGAGGTAGACTGACATGATGTGCTGCCAGGCTGTGCTTGATGTGCAGGAGGATTTGGAGGACTGGACACAAGGTGATGGTGCTTGATGCTAGAGTCCAAGGGCATCTTGCAAACACCATCACAGTTCCTCAGCACAAACCCATCTTGCCTTCCTACTCTTGTGCTTGTCTGCAGGGACAAACTCCAAGGCGGTTGCATCTTCCATTTGTAATTTCAGCACAATGGGGTAAGCGGGTGCTGCTGAACGGGTGTGTAAAAGCCCCCCCATGACTTACAGCTGTAAAGACAGCTTTCAGCCTATGGTTAAAGCATGCACCCTGCCAGGTCAACGTGATGTCAGGTCATCTCACAAGACACGTATCGCAAAAGAAATGGGCTGTGGGCAGTAGGACAGACCTGGGGGGGGAAATCTCTATTATTGTCATAGCAAACGGGACTGGAGGAGAGCCTACAAAGCAGCCCTTTTCCCCTCATCCTCTTTTCTATCAGCACGGTGAAATGCTTCTGTCTACAGAAGTGCAAAGAGAGATGAAACAAACTGCTCTACCCTAGGAGCCTGCCTGGCATTTCAATTAGCCATGGCCAGGATGATTCAGCAACAAGACACGATCCTGGTAAAAGCAACACACTTCTGCGAGAGGACAATGAAAGAAGCTTTCATTAGAGAGAGTCCTGGGACTCCGCAAAGGGATGGAGACCACAGGAGGATCAGCATCTGAATAAGCCTGGTAAAACTAGCTGTCCTTAGTGGTCTCTCATTAACACCTGAACTACGTGGGGGGAAAATGGAAAGGCACCAAAGAGTATTTTCTGTAAGAAGGAAGGAAGAACTTGTTTCCAGTATGCTCAGCTTCCCTGATGACGATAGTTGTGTAAGTCACCTATATATAAACTAGAAGAGTATGCTATTGGCAAGGACACAGACATGGCTGAGGGGAAGTATTAACCCTTGGGATTACAGGAGGGGAGAGCACAAACTATAAACATTTTTCTTAAGGCTGGCAAGAGATTTCAAGCATATACTAACGCATAAACTTTCAACTGCTTTGGGGAAACTCACCCCGTTTCAACCCCCATGGAGATACCTGATGAAAAAGCACATAAAAAGTGCGTTTTGAAAATTATTAAATAAATAAGTACTCCTAATTGGCATAATTTTTTCTCCATAGTTTGTGCTAAATTCTGCTTTTAGTTGCAGCGGTACAAATCTGGAGAAATGCCTTGGGTTTCACCAGCACTCTTCTGTATTTATCTAGCTGTCAGGAAGAATTTTTTCACTCCTATGAGTGGAAGCTTTAGGGAGATACTTGAAGAAGAAGTACTGAAATGGCCTCGCTGCTTCAGCCTAGTCCCTTAGTTTTCAGACTGCGAGCTCGGTAAAAAGATTTGCAAATTTCTTTAAGGCTCCTTATATCCTTTTTTTCACTTGGACCAGTCTATGGTCAAACCTATCTAAAAGGACTGAAGGAATATCATTTAAACATCTGCACAAAAAAGGGAACAATGTGTTAGTATTAAATATTTCCTTATTGTTACTATTTTTACAGCAAAACCCCAAACTTCTACAGTGGGATTTATGTGATTTCCATAGCAGGTACTTGAATTTCTAAAAGGCCTGGAGTGCCACAAATTTTGTGTTTTAAATGCTTAATTCCACGTTACACAAAATATATTTCGTTAACGTAGTGGGTCTTTAAAGGAATTTGTAGCTCACACACAAGTGGTCCACATCTTGCTGGTATATTTTAAGACTAAAAGCTATAGGAAGCTCATTAAAAGATAGATCCAACAGAGTTTAAATTCCACACTGATCCCTGGAGATTTTTTTCCACCGAGAAGTAATTTCCAAGGCCTCTTCAAAGACTGAAACATAAGAACTGAAAGAAACGGCAATAATTAATGAAATCACTTTAAAGCAACAATCCTTAAAACATTCCCTTTTGCTGCACAACCACACAAGTGACTCCACGGCTAAGTGTACAGAGGCCTTTCTGTTATAACCCAGATATTTCCTATTCTTTTTAGATATCAGATAGGGACTTCTTGGGGGCTTGGACTTTTTACACTAGCTTCAGACCAAAGATTTTTTTTTTTTCCTTGAATTTGTAAGTCTACCTTAAACCAACAGAAATTAGAAGAGCGCAGAATGAGTTCCAATGAGTATCCTGAGATGAGCAGGCTGTCTCTCAGCGTGGCTTCCCTGGGATGCTCTTTGTTTTGACGATTTTGCTATTCTAAGAATGCATTTCAGGTAGGGAATATTCATCTGGCCTTCCATTAACAGACACATACTTCTAGAGGTGAAAATTCTTCAGTGTTCCTTGAATAATGGTGCTCAAAGGAATACTACTATCGGTCAGATGTTGGGTAAATATTCAAAGTGTTAATTTTAAATTGGTAAAATGCAGTTTGGCTTAAGGCTTAAACTATTCTTCTAGAATACTTATTACAGATTGACAGCACAGTATGAAGGTAAAGCCTAAGGCTATAAACCTGATGTTAAAATTTCCATTTATAAATCAATAATCACTGCAAACAAACCAGTCTACTCAGTTCTGTAAATGCCACAACTCTTCCTCAGGCACAAGTTGTATATAAAGTTTGGTAAAAATCCAAAGAGAGCATTACAAAGCTGACATGCACCTAACGGCCCCCTCCTCAAACTCAGACCTGTGGGGTGCTGGAGCAGGGCACGGCGCTGCTGAAGGAAGCCTTTAACCTGTGAGGTGAAACCCCTGGACCAGCACACTCAGCATGGAGGAGAGCTTCAGATACACCCAAAGGATGCTGGTGCAGAAGGCAGAACCGGGGAAGAGCTATCTAATCTCACCTCAGAGACACCTTCACAAGGTGAGTTTGGAAAGGGTCGAGAAATCTCAGTCCTGAGAGCATCTCCTGTATTTACTTCCAAAAGCGGAGTAACTGGATGCCCAACCAGGAGCTCAGCTGAGATGACTAAAGCTCACGTGCATCTTTCAGGAGCTCAGAGCCCAGACCTGCCTGCCCACTGCTTACCAGCTATCACATCACCTCACCTCCCAGCCCTCTTTCCAATTTCAGTTTGTTTTCACAGGGTGCACACAAGCCCTGACGTGCTGCAGAAGGCAATTCCATATGGATATTTACTACCTATTGTTTTAGAAGAGCCAAGTTATTTTTCTTTTCCAAACTGTAGAAATCACTCTCATTCTCCTCCACACAAAAAAAAACCCTCTCTTTTGTTTGTCTCTTAATTTGCTGTGCTTGGCCTCTGGCCAGAATCCCTTTTTCTGCCTTGAAGGAGGGTGACAGCACGCCTTTGAAGGAACGCCAAGGCTGCTGTTAGGCTGACCAGCAGGGAGCAATCCTGCCCAACACTCCCTGGCCTCTCCCACATTGGTCTCCTTTCCCAGAAACATGCAGTCTCAAAGGCAGAGGTTGAGCCGATCACAATTCCCAGAAGAGATTTTTAAGCAACAGATGAAGTTTAAGCACACGCAGAGAATGCTGGAGCTGGAAGAGACATCAGAAGATCAACCAGACCATCCTCTCGCCCTAAGGCAAATCCAGCTGTACCTACAAGACACTGCTGACAGATATTTGTCTGACTGGTTCTCACCAGCTTCCAGTCACAGGCAGTAACATTTCTGCAGGCAGTCCAGTCCAGCACATCACTTCCCATCAGAAAGCCTTGGTAAATCTACTCTCTCTTACTTCAGTTGAATCTTATCAGTCCTCGTCCGAATATGGACACAAAGAACTTATTCATTACATCGTTCAGTTTCTAACAGTACTTTAAAATACAGAGCAGCAAGCTGTACCTAGCTACCCTGGTCACCGTGCCTGTACTTTTTGTGTCTATAAAAACACTCTGTTGACATACAGTGCTTTTATCATCAGCAGAGTAAGCGTTCAGCGCTGACTCAGAGGGATGACCACTGGTTCATAGGTTTTATTTCCCAGAGCATCTTATGTCTTTTCTTGGAAGATCTTCCTCTGGCCACTGAACAGCTCTAACCCCACTGACATTACAGATTTAATTTGCTCACATGCTGAAACTGCTACACACTTGTAAGGGGTGAAATGCAAAAGTTTGTGCAAAGCTAAAAACCTGCACAAGACAAAGGCTTTACAGAGAGGCTAATAATATATTTCCTGCATCACTTTATTTCTGACACATTCATCTTAGTCTTGGCCGTGGGATACTGTTCATTTTCTATTATGACTGATACTCAGTTGGAAAGATGAGAGAAGGAGAAATTGTGATTCAACACTTGTTTTTTGGTTTTGTTTTTTTTTTTAAACTAACCAGTTGCTTACAGCATTTTTGTCTCTTACACTGGTAACACAGAAACAGAAAGGTACAATGGTACATCTTGTGCTCTGATAATAAGTTTAATTGTTTCAGCTTGAGGGGGATAACTGTGAGAGGATTTGCCAGGTGTTGAAAAAGCTTTTCTTTTTTTCCCTTTAAATGTTTCTGAGACGCAAAATGAAACCAAAAATTTTCCACTGTAACTGTAACTTGCCAGCGCTTACCCTCACACTTACCCAGTCGAGGGGTTCATGATGCAACCCCCTTTATCAGTAGGTGCTTTACAGTTACAGCCCCTCTCCAATGTATCATGATTCATTCCAAAATTGTGTCCCAGTTCATGAGCCAGTGTGACTGCTGCACCTAGAGGGTTTTCTGAGTGATCCTTAAAGAAACCAAAAACAACTAGTCAAGTCAACATACAACACCAATTCAAAATACACATTCCCCTCTCTAAGGTCCTATTGCCTGTCCTTTGAAATGCTTTATAAACTTACCAGCTGTAGTTACACTGTTGTTAAATGGACAAAATTTTAAATTCATCCGCATATACCAAGTGCAGGCTGGGAATTTCGGGACAGCCTATCCATCCTGGCCACCCAGTTTCCCCAGCACGTTAGATATTTGAGATCACTGGGCAGCTTGGAACATCTGGGTCATCTCTTCATTTAGGGCTTAAAATTGCTCTGCTCAGTAAATCCCCCAAACTCACAAGTCACGGCAGTGGCAGAAAACAGTCAGCCGGATGTGGGGTGTTGGTAAGGGTAATCGCTTAGGAGTGAGGAGGAGTGTGATGGGGGAAAAGTGAGAAGATCCTTAATGTCAGGAGGTAAATTATAAATACATCAAGGGACTTCACTTGGTCTATTAAATATTCTGATATTAAAGAAACAGTCTGAAGAAAGTCCAGGATTTCACAAGCCTTGTAAGAACAACCAAATACCTTTGAAAACTTCTTTTTTAAAATAAAAGGACAAAGCAAGTCAAAATCTTCGATGGCCTCTTGTTAACACCTATGATTATTCTAAATGTTGCAAGTGTCAAACTGAAATATTAACATTAGTGCTTGCTGAAAATACTGATTTTTGGGACAATTATTTCTGAGAAATTCACTGCATGATCTGATCGCCGGCTGCTGATCAGAGTGATGTTTTGGCTTAACCACAAGTAAGAGAACTTTCCACATCGATCATTTATCTTGAGGGGAAAAAAAAAAAATCCACTGTACTCATGAAAGCTTTCCCTAAAGGCATAAACATGTAATATAAATGCATGATCCACTATTTATCAGTCAGTAAATGGAATTACTATGTACAGCTGCCTGCTCTAAAACCATACATGAATATATTCAGTCTAAATAAGTCTTTTATTATCACCTAAGCCAGCCTTCAGAATAAAAAGACGTAAAAGGTAAAACTGTCAAAAACATTAGCTATATATTAATGAAGCCCTTAATACATGACTTGGGGCAGATATGTGTGTTTCTTCTTTCACCTGTCTGTGCCAATATTTTTAGTAAATCGTTTCTCAACAAAATCAAAAAGAGAATACAGTCATTCTGCATTTTGAATAAACTCAAAAGAATTTTGCCTTTTAACAAAGTATCTCTTTTTAGTTTTTCCTGAATTTTAAAATTCTAATATAAAAATCTTGCGACTGATGTAACAGCCGGTTTGCGTGCAGTTATATTCCAAGATGTGTTTGGTGAAAGAAGCTGTACAACTTGTCCTAGTTAAAGAAATTAGAGCAAACCTGTGCAGCTAAATAATCTGTAATAACCAAGAAAATATATACTCCTGCATAATGCCTACATGTGGAGATGTCTTATCTAGATACTAGTCACAAACAGATTGATTTATCTTTGTACTCATAGTAATTTATGAAATATTTAGAGAATTCAATGTAATTGAACCTGATGTCATAAAAAGAGCACAACCTCTCACTCAACTGCAAAACAATCCAGGACAAAAGATTAAGAAAACAATGAAATAATTCCATATAATTTACCAGCAATACCTTGGAGTGATGCCTTGAAATTAGGGCTGTGTGGTCAAGTTAGAAACTCCTCTAAGCTTTGAGCTATCTTGACAGACAACAAACTGAGCTCAGTTTTTCTTTATTTTGCCAGTATTATTTCTACTTACTGAACAGAGATTATATTTGTTTGAACACCTCTAAAGCTGGCAATTAAAAATAAAAACAAGGATTCACAGAGTCCACTCCAGAACCTGAGCGATAAATGATCTGAAATGCAATTTGGGTCTTGAATAGGCAAACAATTATTATAGCCCATGCGGTTCTCATTAGTTGCTCACTTGGAATGCAATTTTATCAGTTTTTAGAGAGGGTTTTTAAAACAAGGAATGTGATGTCTCAGCAAAAGAGGTTATTTGAAGACAGCATAAATGAAGATTATCAAAACAAACAGCGACATGTCCCATTTGATACTGACACCATTTGAGTATCACAAGGACTAAAGAGACGAATAGCAATGTGACTTTGATTTATTCCATCGGGGTCTTTGAAAGTTAACTTGAGCAGTAAAAGTCATTACCAAACAGTTTCACAACCACTGAATAAGCAACCATCTACTGTTAAGACATTATAAGCTGTTGCACAAAACATGCAGCTGCTTTCAGCTGGGCTCTGCTTCATTCCGCTGAGATCCAGATCAAATTGGATTAATAAAACACTGTCACCTACAGCTGGAACAGGTAAATGTCCCAATTCTGGTACTTTCTATGCAGTTTCAACCAGTTGTAGGAATACATTTCCGAAAACATACTTTTATTACATTAAACAATTCACTGAAATGTAAGTGCCCCAGTTCCACACTTGTCATTTAGTGTAACTTCCCACTAAAGTCAACAGAAATTTGACATCAGGGAGGATACTACATTACATTACAGCAATATTTTACTTTTAAAGTCATAAATTTAGTGGGCAGCCTTTTGAAAAAAAGAATGAAGACTGAATTGTGTGTCAAAGACTTGCTTTAATATCAACTTTTGTTTGGTCTTTCTGTAAGACAACAGAACCATCACGGTAAAACAGAATTACAATGCTTTTGATAGACCAAAAGCTTCTCGTACTCGGATGACTGCTCTCCCCACTTTGAGTTTCTCTCACATTGAGTAAGTGGGAGACAGGGTGTCACCTACCCCTGAGAGAATTCAGCCTTATATAAAAGTAGAAAGGGGCAGGCTCTCAGGCAGGCACGACAGAGGAATTTAGATTGTGTAGTAGAGCTGACTAACCTCAAAACCCGTCAGGGAAATCATATCATACAAGGATGACTCCAGTTTTTGTATTCAAACGCAATTTCTCACGCAATCTCCCCGTTCTTCTTTCAGATCAGTTTTGAGACTGTGGGAGCTTTTTGGGATTGAGTATTCGGGGTGGGGTGAGGAAGGGGTAGGCTGAATTATAAGGATGGTCAAATGCTGAGTTACCCAGTCTTGAGCTGGTTGAGCGTTACAGCCAGGTTAACAGTTATCCATTCTTTCATTTGTGCATCTTTCAAATTTAGAGCTGTCTGCTGTAGGCACTGGTATACATACAAACTTTTATTCTATGCACCCGAATTGGCTTTTGTCAACTGGGGGGGGAAGGTTGGGCACCCAAGCATTTGGTTTTTTTTGGGGGGAGCGTTTGCTTGTTCTGAATTTGGCTCCTTTTCAAGGATTTGCTTGACGAGCAGGAAAACATTTCTAGCTCTGCTGTGCAAGCCTCGAGTTAATTTGCACCTCAAAAGTTTCAATTCACTGAGGTGGGATTCTCTGGGAAACATCACACTCCCCTGCACAACTGAAGCTGCAGCCTGGCCCATGATTCATACACAGACTCTGGGTTTCTCCTGGACGTATAAATCAGTCTCTCTCTGTCAGAGCCCTGAGAGCACTTTAAAGAAATGCTGATTCTTGTTTTCTTGTTACTGCAATGAACTGTGTTTTTGTTGTTTCTGTTTAAAATGACAGTTTCCAGAGCAAAGAGGACTGACTTTGCAGTAAAACATAGCGTAGCATATTTTAGTTTATGCTAAAAATTAAGAAGATAAAAAAAGTCATCATTAGGGCATCTCTGACTGCAGATAAAGCCCAAGCAGTGACTGCTGGCCTGAGGGTGAAATGGATACTATGGGGCTGTCTGCCTCATCTGTGCTTTTGCCAAGATTTGGAAGTCTACTGGGAGACTCCTACAGATTTTTCTTCCACTTTTCCTCCTTTTCCTTTTGTAACTATCCCCCAGGTACGCAGTGAAAAGCTGTAACAAACACCAATTAGAGACCCAGCTTCTAAAGCTAACAAGAGACTAAACCCTTTGTCTTTTCTACAATTTTGACACGACTTTTCTCCAAATTATGTGATTTTTCTTTCCCACTCTTTCCTATACCTCAGCTTCCCTGCTCACCTCGTAAATCCTCCCACTCTGAACCATCCATATATCATCTTCCACAAATGCACGCATCAGCCCAGCTTGGCTTCTTGCCTACTTGTCCAAGAGACCACAAAGGAGCCCTGCATTGTGGACCAGCCTCAGCTTCCAAGACAGTTAAGAAGGAAGGGGAGACCTTCAAGGGGCTTCATCTCTATGATTTCCCCACTACATGGATTGTCTCGAAACAAAAGCCTGGGCTCCAGGTTAGCCCCATGAAGCTCTGAAGAACTGGGAGTTTTGAGACCAGACTGACACTGAACATTGTGTGTTCCAGAGCTCCCACCTAGTTTAGGTTGGGACTTGCAGCCGAGGTGTCCAGCAGAGCTGGAGAGAACCACCACATCATCTAAGGGGCTGGAAGTCTAAACAAAGCTGTGGGAAACACAAAGGTTCTCAGCACACGCAGGCTGAGCTCAGAGAATATCTAAGAGGTTTTTAGGGCTCCCTGGCTTTCTGCTCTGGAGTTGAGCTCTGAGGTCACAAGCTGAGCCGGCTAGTGGCCTGCAAGCTCTGTGAGTCCACATCTAATTTTATTTAAAATACTTCTATTGGAAAGCTTAGTTAACACAAAACTTCTTTCCCCTCCTTTTTCACAAAACAGTTAAGAATTGAGAAAAAAAAAATAAATTGAAAGAAAATATTCCAGAACTACTTCCAGAAATTGGCTCAGATGTTTACTTGTATGTTCATCATGTCTAGCATCTAACCACAGCATTACCAGTAACATATCTCTGAGAGGGGCTCAGGTAGAATAAACGCCGCTATTGTTTGTTCTCGTTGTCTGGCAATGTAATAAAACCACTGTGCTGCGAAGATGGAAAATAAGGCCTTACACAGGAAACTCTGTAAATACAGAATAAAATCAATATAATAAAAGATTCAGGATAGATTGTTGTTGCCTGTAACACTAGTATACCCAAGTGTATTAGAAATACATCTTCTGGTTCTCATCCTTCACAGCACCTCAGCACGTGATTTAATGATAATTAGGAGTAGAGGTTTCTTGCAAAGAGGTCATGCTATATTTTAACGTAATATTTTGATTTTTTGTTCGCTATGGAAACTATCATTTACAAGCAATGTAGATAACACTGAGACTGAAAATGGGACAGATGGGGCTGAAGTTCTGGTACAGGATACAGGACTACAATACTTGCGATTGTGTCGCACCAGTTGGGCCAGTTTCAAGCCCTGTGCTCTTACCACTTACCATGACGACCCCTCCAGACTGCTCTGCAGTGCACATGCTCATTATGGGCGCCATGCCAATGGTGGTCCCTTGGAAGTACACCCCGCTGCAGGAGGGCGGGAAAGGAGAAGAAGAATCACAGAATCACCATTCAGTGCCAAGATAGCGCCCTATTATTTCCAGTCTTGTATTTCTGCCAATCTCAAGACAAAGATCCCATTTCAAATGTGTCAGCTCCAGGCATTCAGGTTTAAAACAGGTTTTAAAACAATGAAAAGCACAGATTAGTCATGTCGGCTTGCTGAACTGACAATGACAGCATCCCTGCTACAAGAAAGATCCATTTGATCACCGTCCTTTGGGTTTACCACTGTAAGAAGACCCTTCTTTCCTTTCTCTTTTTTCCCCGGAGTGAAGTTGGGAATAGAAATACAAACATAAAAATTAAGTCTCTAGCTCAAAGAAGGGACATTTTAATGCAGTGGGAAGTTTATATGCTACTTGTTATAATAAACAGCCTAGAATGCAATAGTTCCAAACAAAGTATTATTATACATAGAAAGTAATCAAATATCTCATATGGGACAGTTCGGAAGGGCTCGCTCTATTCCTACACAGGCAATCTAAGAATATTTATGTGACGCTAAAGAGCTCCTTTTAATTACTAAGACACCAGGTATGTTTATCTGCATAGTGTAAAGACTGGATCATTGATCAAAATAATACCTGGTTCAAGAAAGAGGTGTTTCTCTTACGTTTTTTTTAAGAGTGCTTTTACTTTGAGCATGTTTACTTAATTACTTTAATCCAGGAACCAGCACCAGGGTAAAGGATGTGTATAATTTATTTTTTAATTCACAAATGCAAACAAATTGTCCAGTTTAGACTGCATTTGAAAGTTTACTGAGGTCTTTCTACTAACAAACAGGCTTTATGTAGTGTCCCCTTAGCCCTACTTTTGGGGTGAGGGCAGAACTGCCTTTTACAGTAACAGTTTAGACCAAAACCAGCTTAAACTGCTTGTAAATCCATACTCTAAGTATCTACCAGCTTATTACACATCTACACTTCTACACGAGTTGTACTCGGGAAAGGCCTAAAAGTAACAGAGCAATTGCGGAGCTGTGCAAGGAAATTAATCTGAAGCATCTGCTGAAGGGCTCTGCAAAATGCTTTTATGTTTGATATTTGCAGAGGGGAAAGACAAACCCTCAGGAGCACAGATGTTCCTCCCAACAGCTTAGCAACTGGGGAAGAATTCATTACAGCTATTTCAAATCACTGAAATCCTGGCCGATATTAAAAAGAGTGTCAAGTCTACCTTATCAGCTGTGCGTTGTCATGGGGTTTACGAGGTAGTAGTTTTAGCTTTCTCCAGTCCAGAAACTCATGGAGGCTGGTGAAAGGGTCTTGAGAAATAGAGCACTTATCCATGTCGTTCCATACTTCCACTCCAACCAGGGCTACACGAATATTTAGTGGCCTATAGAACTAATGAGAAAAGAAAAACAGACTCATGTCTCTAAAATCCATTTGAGACCACATTGGTTTAAAATATTTCAACAGAAGCACAATGTGCATATGAACCTTTCTTGCAGAGGCTTAAATGGTCTCTTCTCCAGGGCAGAAGGGAACACCTGACAGGACTGACTCACAAAATATTTCCACGACTTACAGAAAACAGTTCTGACCTGACTAAACACCCGTAAGGCATTCAAAGCCATCCAGAGATATGCTACTTCTCTATGTCCCACCCAAGTCTGGTATCTTCCTTCAAGATGGAACGTTGCCGCAACTACCTTTACACGTCCTTCACTTCCAAACAAATGCGTTGCTACGGCAGATGACTCTCTCCACAGCTGCCCTCCATCACCAGCACCAATGCAGTGCAAGAGGTAGAAGCAGCTGTGATGTACTATGATTGTGGTTCAAGATAATAGCTCAAAATTAGCGAGAGTCATCGAGTCTTGGTCCCAGCAGACAAAAATAAGCGATTTTAGCACTGTGGGCCACATACACTATTATCCCACCAGTAAATGCCACAGTCGCTACAAGAGGGGAGCCACAGCAGCATTAACAACAGAGCAGAGGTAACAATTCCAATGTGAGACTAATGTGAAGAAAAATCCAAGAATCAATCAAGTCCAGGTTTGGCTTACAGGCTAAGAAAACCACATCTTTGTCTTGTTTATATGCATTACAGTCATTTGGATAACATTGGCATTTGCTGAGCATAAATCTAGCATGAAGCACAAATATATTATAACATGGAAAATTAATTTTGAGCAGGTAACATATAAACACCTGTCCTCCAGTAATGTCAGCAAGACAATTATGGAAGAGGTGGAGGTGTCTTCAGCAGCTTGTTTTTAATCAAGCATGCTTCCCCTTGAGTTATTGCCCTTGAAGTATCACTTGATAAGTTCTCAGCTAAATTAAGACTCCCTCAGTTATAATTTCACTACTGGACTCCTAATTTTTTTCTGGCCATACAGCACAACAAAAAATACCTTTAATTTGTTCAAAAAGTGCTGTAGAGGACTCTTAGCATTTACTGATTAGCATCAAGAAATTACTTCAAATAGAAAAAAATCCAGTGTATGTCTCTTTCTTATTGCTCTCATTCAGCCATCAACTTCTGCTTCCTTAAGAACTACGTATTTTTAATTCTGCCATCTTCCTTGGGTTATATATTTCATTGACTGTGTCTTCACAGGCCCTTTCTTGGCTTTACAATCAGACCATCCCTTGCTGCTGCAATGGACTTTGTTCTCCAAATTCCTCCACAGAATAATTCTCTTGCTAGGGGCTGTTATCTGCACCCTCTTCCCAAGTTCATAAAATCCTAGGGCTAAATTGTACATCTCCTTAGGAATAGTGCTTCCAGAGATATCTGCGTCCCATATATAGCGGAGCAGAGCTCGCAGCTTAGTATGCTGAAGGGCATATGAAAGGTTTAAGTTTACTTTTTTGGTTTTACTGGCTGGAGAAAAGCGTTGCTCTGAAATACTGGAGTATTAGGAAAGCAGCAGGGTTAGCTCCTTGAAAAGGTGGGTGGATAAGGAGATGTGTCAAAGGTTGCGAAAGCTGCTGATCTGAGCCTGGCAGCTTTCTTAAGTTACTAGTAGAAGGAACATAGATTTCATAGCAACATCCTTCAGAAAGCATCGTAAGTTTGGAAAAAAGTGAAATAATGTTCATGTTCTTACCTTATCGACATAGTTTGCAATTTCTATCAGTCTCTGCTTAATTTTTTCCACATCCTTGCCTTGTCTCTGAAACTTAGAACAAAAGGATCAATGTACTAACAGCACGAATATCACAGAGCGTCCCCCCAACAGCCACCTGACTCTGCCAGCATTGCTGGTGATGTCTGGGAATTACACTGTGCAACCAAAGGCCATCAGCAGACTCCTGCTAGCTCCATGAGAGCATGATTTGCCTCGGAATAAGCACAGGCTGCGGGGTAGGACTTTGGTTCCCACAAAAGGATTTTAAAATCGCTAAGTCTTACATAAGGATCTTTCATGGGCTGATGTTTTGTGAAAAAGAAAAGGCTCTTCTGTTAGCTGTTTCAGCTCTTGCAGCAGAGGGACTGTAATTCCCTAACTAGCAGTGTTCAAGGAGACAGAAAAAAAAAATGTAAGTAGCAAAATAATTCAAACCAAGATTTAGATCTTTGGCTGACATTCAACTCACTGGAACATTTCCACAGCCAGTCCTGGTTACTTGCTTTGGAACTCTTTTTGCAAACCGTCAGGAAGGCAGTCGGGCCTCATGCAGTGTGATGCTGAAGTACTGCTTCAAAAGCAAGTGCAGGATCCTACTGTGTCTTCCAAACAGTGACAGTCCCACCAAGGGCAGAATTAATGGCAATGAAGACTTAACTAGCTCAAGGAGATCCCGGGCAGTGAATTCATATTTCTGTCTTCAACTACTGCCAGATATCCCAGTTACTTGAGAGTCAAATTTCCTTGTGAAGCATTGCAAGAAATTTTACAATTATCAGTGTTGTCCTATCTTAATAGTGCCTTCCGTTGCTTAGCACTAATTAGGGAAGAAGCTTTACTTTTGAAAACCACCACATCACTCTGTGAAGCACATCACCTGCAATACCATGGCAGCTGAACTGAGCTACTCAATTCTTGTCCATGCTTCCCATAACAATTTAGTTTTAAGTTTCTTACCTCACGATTATCTGCCACAATAACAAGCTCCACATACTTGGTTGTCTTCAGAGTCTCCCTCTTGTACTGCCAAAAAAGATGAAAATAGTATTTTGTTTCTGCAATAAGTGACCCTTGGAATCAGCCCTGCCTCGGTCCAACAGACTACTTGCGAGAGGAGATACACAGCATCTCATACTTCCAAAGATTTCACTACATACAAATTTTTATTGTATTCCTTCTCCTCATGGACATTTTCCTTTATCTGCTACAACAGAAAGAGCCTCAACCTTTCAGCTTTCTGCAGTTGAAATGTTTGAGTTATCTTTCCTCGCAGGAGAATATCATCTCTAGCAGAAAGACCTTTGCTATTTCCAAGGCACGTTTAAAGAAATGATGAGATGACTTTTAGCAAACATTTCACACAATAGACAAACTGGCTACTAAGAAAAATGAGAGATAAAGGGATACTGAGTGAAGCAGAGAAGAGATCAAGTGCTCAACTGCTAAATTATGTAGGAAGAAAAGCCCAGGAACAAAAAACGGCAGACAAAAATGAAATGAACTGTCAGTGCCTGCAGAAGTAAACTAATACTCTAAAACCAGAAGGCATACATTTAATTTTGTATATTCATATAAAACAGCTGGTCACACGACTTGCAGTTCTAAATGCAGGTCTAAAGGAATCATAATGCTTAACTGCAAAAAAAGATCACTGAAGAAAATAAAATTATTTTGTAATAGTACTAATCACAGCACAGCTCCTCTGCTACCTTAAATTTAAGTGACCTACTAATGCCTGTAAAAGTTCTGTGGTTTACAGCAGCTGAGCATCCATTCTGTCGTTCCTCCCTTGTTTCTGGAATAAGATAGTTAAGGGAAAGAGGTCTCAGCAGTATATCTGATCTTCATGCCAGAACTTAAGAAGCTTAAGCAGATGTATGACCTGCTAATGACCGTGATGTCTTGAACTAACCCAGTGCTCTATAACCTAAAACATGACTAAAGCTTTCCAAAGAAAACTGTTCCAAGGCAAACTGTGTGATCCCCTAAGCTAAGCCAGTGCTGGACATCACCTTCCAGCCAACTTTCACGAGGTTTTCTTCACATTACCAAAGCGTTCCTCTGTTATCTGCAGAGTAATGATTTTGTATGTTTTGCAAGCAGCCCTGTGTTTAGAGGAAAGTGTAACCTTTAGTAACTCTGACTTTTCAAACTCATATTTAATAGTGTTACTCAGCCTTCGAACTACAATAATTGGAAAATAGTTGAGTTCCACTTGGACAGTATTTATGAACTGAGAAAGCAGTAAAAGCTATCATTAATGAACTAAACATCAGTGACACAAACACTTCACAGGACTACACTTATTAGGGGGCCTGGAAAATGAGCTTGGGTAGATGTTCTTACAATTTCTCGTGGAACTGGGGTTCCCTGTCACCTTTTTGTGCTCTACTGGAGGCAACTGCCACCACCACGGGGTCATAGTGTGTGCACAGCCTTGGTGCACATGCCCATGTCTCGCCGGTCACACAGATCACCGGCAGGGCCTGGTAGTATGCTGGCTGGGAGCCAGGACACCAAGGAGGCAGCACGTCCCCTCCTGCTGCTCCTGGAACAGCAGCAGATGCAATACAAAGGACTCGCCATGTCTCAGTAGACTTCAGCAGAACCTGGGGTGCTCTGGCAGAGCTCCATTTACCTCCCTGCGAATACATCAGACACGAGTGAGATGCCACGTAAGGCAAATTACCAAGTGGGTGTTGTCTGTGGCAGGATTGATCTCTCAGACAGTAAAAGTCTACCATAAATCTGAAGGTTTTTATTATGCAGTCCTGATCGGGCTCCCTACCTCCAAGGTGCCTCTAGTCGTCTTCTAAATGAAGAGTAAAAGATAAGACATGAAAACGCAGGTACAAAGATATAAGAGCTCTGTTACATCAGTCAGTTTAAACCATTTACTTTTTACCGAGAGTAGAACTGTTTGGACTTGAGAGAGCTAGCCTGAGAGAAACTGGCTAGCAGGGTACAAACGTGTAAGCCTCTGGTGACTGACTTGCATAACGAATCCATTCCTGAGACTTGCCCAAAGGCTATGTGTATTCCTTGGATACAATATTTATTTATAAAAATATACCTAATTACGACTTCTTTCAGCTTGCTTTCTGCAGTCAGCTGCATCAACTGCACAGTCCATTGCCTGAGTTAATCCTTCAGAATTAAAGTGAAGAGTCAGTAACACAGCCATGATTGATACACAAGATGGAAGACACTATGCTTTGTTCCACTGACCGTTGTCTTTCTCCCCTGTTTCTAGCACATCTGATCTATCACAAAACTGCTGTCCATGCCACTCTAGCCCTTCCCCAGCTCGATTCACACTGCAGTGTTGCAGCTTCTCTCTTTCTCCATGATCCACTTGCCCTGAACAGCTCACCTGCCTGACTTTTGGACCACCAGCACCACCAAAATGGCTTTTTTTTTTGTGTGGCTACAGAGAAAAAGCCATACTGTAGGGGCTGTCTCACACATCAGGCTTGCTTTCTGTAGGATCCTATCTCACTGGAGCTCAACTGGAAAACACACTCCCTGCTGGAACTTGCGAGTCCACTGCGTTATGAAATGACCTGGTATTTAGAGACCCAGCTCCAATGGGGCAAACCGTGTTTGCACACATCTGCTACCTTCCCTGATCTGTCCTATTAAATCTAGTGTTTGGATCTGAGAAGCTGAGTCTACCATTTGTTCCATCATTTTTCTGTAACCCAAAAGTAGTCTAACTTTGTAATATATTGATCTCACATTTCAGCCCTGCTCAATAAGAATGTAGTGTAGACAGTTGAGTGAAGAGTCAGGGGAGTAAAAAAAACCAAAACCAAACAAAAAGCTTCCCCAAACCTGTCAATAAATGAAAACGTTTCATCATGCCCTGAACCTGAGACTAGATTTCTGCTTACTCCTGTCACCCAGTGTAATTTGCAGCAGCCTTACGTCTCCATATTTTGCAGGTCATCTTTATTCAGTATGCCCTGACAGCCTACTTAGCCGATGACAACACTGAAATGTGAAAACTCGCTCCACACATTACACTTGACAACTTTTAAAATTCATACCTTAGAAGCGTATCCAACACACTCATTATATATATTGTACCTATCCATATGATGTGACCGTTGACAGGTTTTATAATTATGTCCACATAACCACAGCAAAAATATTTTTCAGATATTTAAGGGGAATTCTGGCACATAGTTGAAGCCATCAACAAAATGTGAGAACCGTAAGGGTAATAGTAAAATTGCTTTGACTGTATCACCTAGTTGTATGCACACATTTTATTTCAGTTTCCCGGGGTTACATTGATTACTTCAGGGAAATTCAGTCAAAAGTCCAAAGATTCTGGGGAAACCTTAATAAAGTTGTGAAAAGGACTTTTCCAATGCTTTCAACCTGCACACATTTTTAGAGATACACTTAGCCCATAAAATGATATATGCAAAGGCTAATGCATTAGATGTAATAGTTGATATTCCTAAAATGTAAAATAATTCCACGACATAAATAATATCTAGGGGATGCCCTTTAGGTTGCTTTCCTTACAATTAACCTGATGCAACAGCACATGCAAGTATAAATCCCAATATGTGACATTTAATAAGTGCTGAGGGCAGATTTGTATTAAATTCTGAACACCTAAACCAGTCTTTTCTACAATCCTCCTACAATATTCAGATGAACTTATTACAGTATTTCCTCTTCCTGATTTTTAGCTCATTTAATTTTCTATAGTTTCCATTACCTAGATGCATTTCACATTAAATAAAATTCTTCCTGTGTAAAACCAACTACAATAATACATCTTTAAAATAATATGGTGAGAACTTGTTTTGTCTGCGTAAGATACTTTCCTACTAGAATGTAAAGGTTCAAAGCCTAATATTAGCAAAGCACCAGAACTCTCATGTTCTCTTCCACACTGGGTGGGCAAGAACTTTACCAGACTTTGCTCAGTGTTCTTATAGGGTCTTAAATTTTGGCTATGACCATACATGAACCAAAATATATTACCATAATATGAAACCATCAGTTTTTTTGTGCCGTTTCCTTACCAAAAATAAATTAGAAAAGCAAGTAATGCATGCAGGATCGAGAAAAAGTAATAAAGCCTTAGCAAATCATGTAAGTATATGCTTAATTTTAAGCATGCACTTAAGCACATTTCATCAACAGAAGTTGACTGTATGGTTTAATGTTTTGCTCAGGAGGGACCCTTTGTAATAAAGAGTTATGGTAGGCAGTAATATGAAAATATTACCAGAGATGTACTCAGCAAACCAGAAACAGAGAAGTGCGTCATCCACCTACCCTGCCAGCTTGAGAATGGTGTGATGTGTCACTGTCGTTAGCTCTCACGGCAGAGATGTCCAGCTGGTGGCCACAAGATCCTGGGGCTATTTTCAAATTCCCTGCTCGGTAGATCTTGTGTTCACTTGTAGCACCTTCTAATGGCTCCAGAATGTAGCTTTTGTTTTCAAATACAATAATTCCCCTGTTACAGAAGAGAACACGGTAAGATTCATGGTTTCCAAGAGCTAACGTATGCTTGTCTACAACAAAGTTACAACAGGTTTTGATAATGACGGAGTATGAAAAAGCAAAACGCTGATTTACAATGTCATGGTTGAGTGGAGCAGGAAACATCAAAGCTGTATATTTGTCATTGCGGCACACTATACTTTAAAAGAAGCAATGGCTCAAAGAAAATTTTCCTCTTCTGAAGTGCCATACTGTAGAGCAAAATTATATTTGTGTTTTATGTGTTTTCCATTCTCCCAGTGATGCATTGCCGTCGCTGAGCAGAGTCATGATGCTTCTGAGGACCCATGGCAAGCAATAATGAACAAAAGCGTGCTGAAATGCTTTTGTAAGAAAAGGTGCAGAGTGAAAGCATTCATTATGATCTGCGGTGTGCATTACACCTTTTAAACCAAATGCTGATGCAAGCATCATTTCTGCAGGATGAAAGAGGCATTGCGGTATCAAACTGGATTATTAAAAATTGCACAGTGAGAAGGCAGAACGAAGCTCAGATATATTAACAGGTGGATTCCCATTTAACTCCTTTTTCTACCCAAAATGATAATTTTTACAGCAATGCCACCTGCTCTCTGAGGATCTCAAAGATTTTTCCAGCCATGAGAGCACTCTTGCTGCACTATAAGCTACAGTATGCAAAGAGGAAAGAGTGGCTTAGGAAGAGATACCCCACCTTGCTCCACGAAACCTGTGGAAGAACCTAGGACACATGGCCAATTCTGGGCTTTATGTGATGACTCCTAACCAAAACCTGCTCTACCTAAACACTCCAGACAGCTCACCCAACAAAAGCCATGCTTGTGTTCTTGTGCTGGATCCTGCCCAACTCTTCTGAGCTACTACAGTAAAACAAAGTAGACAAAAGGTTGAATATCTCTCCAGTTCCTTCTGCTGAGGAAACTGCAGGCATAAGGCTGCTCTTTCAGCTCAGCAGAGGAAATACAGACAGTGTGGTATGGGTCTCCATGGTCTGTGCATGCTGGGATAGGGTTTCTGTTACTACATGGCATAAAGTAATATAATCTCCAGCAATACCACTGGCATTAGTAATTATAATTGCAACTGTAGGATCGTAGAGTAAGAAGACTGCTCTGTTGTACCTCAGGCCTGGCACAGCATAAGAAGGCGTAAAGTAGGTTTACAGACAGGGCTCAGGTAGAAATTACTGTCAGAGAAAGGAATTTAATACTCTGTGACTAATTTACAAGTGTCTAACGTGCATCCTGAGCACATACTGGCAGCCACACAGGAGATATCCGTAGATAATTCCTTCATCAAGGTGGACATCAGATTTAGTTGAGGACCAGAGAAAGGCACTTTTAAAATTCCTTTTCTCTTTTGTAAACTAAGGATAAGCATTTGCTTATGGGGTGCTGTAAGCATTCATCAATTAGACACTACACTGAATAGTGCACTGCATTACTAATTTCTCCCCTGTCTTTAAATTATGAAGGCGTTAATCCCCAAGCACTGGCAAAGGTTCAGCGGCAATAATTACCTGGAATTCCATGAAACTTTTAATTGGCCAAGACATTCTTCCTCAATTCCTCCTCTAAACTGCTCTATATGCTATTAAACAGCAATCATTTTCAGCCCAAAGCTGGCTGTATTTTATTAGTGTGTCTTTCTGATGTATAGGAAGTGTCTGCTCTTTTTATTTCTGTCTGTACTGCAACAAAGGCAAGATGCTACAACCATTGTGAGAGTGATACGTGTCTCTATACAATTCTCCTGCATAAAGCTGAAAAAAGGAAAAAAAGAAAATAGAGGAAGGACCCAGAAGCAGGTTAATGACACCATAAAGACCGGTTTAAAAATAAAAAGTTAAATGATTAGAAAAAATGCTGCCCTAGCTATGCTGTACTTAGCAAGATACAATGAAGAAACTCAAAGCCTTTGGCCTCCTAACCAGTTAACTGAAATTTTCTTTCCAAGCTGACTGCACAGTTTTGGTACAAAACATCATTAGCATCAGTTCAGCCGAGCCAACAGATGAACATTTTACTGTTAACTACAACAGCTAGAAGTCCAAGAGAAAGGGAAAAAAAAAAAAAAAAAAAAAGACAAACCCCATGTTATTAAAGGCTGTGCGACAGCATTTGCAGGATCCTGCTTTACTGATCCGAACCAAGAATCAGGGGCTGATAATCCATCTGTAGCTTCGTTAGTACCTTTGGCAAATGAGGTAAGATCTATTATTTACCCATCGCACAGGCGTGCTGTGTCTGATGGATCACAGCTGGAAGAGCAGGACTGATTTATCCCTGCAACCCTTGCAGCTACAGGCAGGATACACGATGGCATGCAGGACATATGGGGGACCTCCGAGCAGGTCACCCCGTGATTTGAGTCACCTTACACCCTTCAGTTCTAAATTATTTTCAGATCTGCCTCATTCCTTGAAGAATTTAGGAAACTAGGACAACGTATTCCCTTTACTCCGATAATCAGCAACTCTGTAATCAGCAAAATCACAGAAGGATTGTTGTCTTTCCCTTGTGCAATTAATCATTTAATTTTGGAGGCAGTTGGAACAGCAACGGAGGCAGAAGTCCATTAGTCACTGTTTGAAATGGGCCAGCCTGACCATCTCCCTTTACTAGACAACTCAAAGCCAACAGAAAACCATTAAGGGTTTTATTTTTAATGCTAAACTGTATCCTGCTTAGAATATTAACTTAAAAAAACCCCAGACCTGGACTTAAATAATTTTCTTTAATTTATGCTAGAAAGGGAGAGACTTAGTAGTATCCATTTAGTGGGTAAAGCACTCTTTTTTTTGTTTGTTTGTTCCCTTAAGATCCAGCATTTTGTTCTCAAGAGTTCATAGCCAAAACAGACCACGTCAATGCCAGGTTTCCAACGTACCCTTTGTATACCCAGCTACTGTCTAAAATAACTAAATATCCATTTCTTCACACCTCATTTTCTTTAGGTGCAGAGGACATGGACAAATGATCAGATACCAGAGTGATTAATTTTGTTTTCTAGAGCATGCAAGAGCCCAAGCTGCCTACTGAGGCTCCGGTCCTTGAGCCTCCCATCTCAAGTGACAGCATGAGCCTTAAAGAACAGTTCTATTTTTGCATATGAGGCAATGCCATGGTAAAAAAAAAAAAATTAAAATAAAATAATTATCTGCATATTCAGCATAAAGGAAAAAATATTTTTCATTTAATGCACACTTATCCTTTGAGTGCTGCCTACAGGATATCAGCCCTTGGCTTGTGACCATCTGTAATAAGATAATGAATATCAAGTATGAATTTTCTTGGCCAGATCTCTGTTTCTGACTAATTTTCTTTTCCTACAATTGCATTTTCCCCCCATTGATCACTGCCAAGCACAGCACCTAGTCAAAAGCTATGGTTTCTTTTTTTTTTTTTCTGATGTGGCAGGATTAGATGAACAATGCCTACCAGTCATTCAGTACTAAGAATTTGATGCAAATAAAATAAATCCATAACTACTTTTTCCTTCCACTTTTGTCAGGTGTTTCACAAAAGCCACTGTTATTCCTAGACCCCTTCTGTGTCTTCCCCATGAACATGGTTCTCCCACACTCCTGAGTCAGCCTATGTTCCCCAAAGAACAAGATGGTGCAGCTTTTCAATTTTTCAGGAGATGTTGTTAAATTATATAATATTTTCCAACGTGGCAATTAGTATATTAAACTAGAGATCCCCAACCAAAAACTATACAAGGAACCTTAAAGGGATTTCAGCAACTCTGTGAGTACTTGAGAAGTGGCCATTCTTTAAGATCAACTTTTACTGAAATCTGTGGGATTTCTACCATTACCTCTACGAGGCAAAAGACTACCAGAATTCCAAAAGTTATAAATATTTGGGAAAAATGCAATATCAAGTATACATTTTTTTGGTTCCCAGCTTTCTAATTCATGGCATCTGTGTCTTCCCCAGTCCCAAACCATACTGATGCAGGGAAGTCAGAAAGATCTTGCAAATGAGCCAGGCCTGAAAGACATGAGACAATTCAAACCCTATTTAAAACTATCAGGCTGTCCTTTTCATCACTGGTAGTAGAGACAGAGGGGAAAAAAAAAATAAATCTATACCATACAGTATGTCCAGACATCAGTTCACAGGCTCCAAGCCAACTGGAAGCAGTTTCAGTGTGGTCTTGAGCTTGAGCTAATATTTTACTCTACCTCTCAACAGGGTTTGAATCCTGTTCATGTCTGGTGGTCAGCACCAGATAAACCACATCCACATTGCTGCTAATCAGCTCTAAATACGAACGGCTCGTTGGTAATTGCCCACTGTACATCCGTACGTGCCATGTGGATGCATGGGGAATGTGTGTATGAGATGGCCTGTGGTGGGACAACGCTTCAATCTCATAGAAGAAGAAATTAAAACATAACTTAAATAATTAAGTTGTTCTTAATTGCTGTCTAACTTGCCAGGAACCTCTCAATTAGGGAAATGGAATTTGATGGAATAATTCCACTATTTAAATTGTCGATAAAGTCAAATGAAAAAAAAAAAAAAAAAAAAAAACAAAAAAACAAAACAAACTTAATGCAAGACCAGTCGTATTTCATAAATCAACAGGCTTTAGGAAATCTCAAAATATAAATGGGATTTTTCTTTTCCAACTTGTCAGCAGAAGCAAAGGCCCTGCCAACATAAACTATCAATGCATACTTGTCTGAGAAATTGTGATGCTGAAGTAAAACTTGGCTAGGATAGCATTATATGAAACTGTTATATATTATTCTGCTGTACTACACAGGGAAAGTTAAGTAAATCAATATATTTGATATCCATGAATGCAATTAAACATTTGGTTTTAATGAAGCCCAAAGTTATACTCATTTCTAAACAATAATAATAAAAAGCTCTATTACCACTGGAAGAGGAATGTAGATGTTTTCAGTTTGTAGGAAATTAATTAGACCATAGAGGGCTGTCATGTTTACACACCACA